AGAAGCGTGGACGAGACATGGCATGAGGGTTGGAGGAGGTGCATGAGACATGGCACGAAATAGTGGGGCAGTGGACAAGACATGGCATGAGGGTAGGGGAGGGGAGGGGTCAAGGAACCTGGATCTCTTGACCCCTCCTTCCTTCCGTCCGCCTGTTTGCCTTTCATGTCCATTCGCGCCTGTCTTCCCATCGCGCCTGCGATCCGATCGCTTTCTCCGATCGGCGGGTGTCAGGCTCCTCTCGTGGCCTTTCCATCTCGGTTGGCCTTTCCTTCTCGGTCGGTCGGCCGTTCCGTCTCGGTCGACGATCGCACCGGCATGCTCGCGATGAGGAGGGGGTGACGTCATCGGGGTGTACGATGGTTTTTTTTTTCTTTGGGGATTCCGGCGTCGCGTGACGTCACGGTATCGTTGGTTTCTTTGAACGCGTTCGCAGCCGACCGAGTTCCGACGGCAGCTGCTCGCCGGAGAATGACGTCATTAATGACGCGGTCGCGTCTCCAGCCGACAGCTGCGAGCTGCAGAAATTAAAAAATGAAAAAGTCCATTTAAGTGGAAGGGGTTGATCAGAGCGACGGCCGGCCGGTAAGTGCAGGGCGTGACCGCGGTCCCCGCGCCGGTCGTAAAGCCGAGACAAGGATCTCCCGGTTCATCCGGCCCTCCAGACACCGAGAAGCTGTTAAAACTAACGAAGAAGCTGTTAAAAAAGGGGCTTCCGACCCACGACCTCCCTCCCCCCCTCGATGACCTCCCACCTGACCGCCACGACCTCCCTCTCCCCCAGGTGTTCGACGGCTCGAACGAGCGCGGGATCCGCCTGCACGGGAACGACGGCTTCCACGGCCCGCGCGCTCCGCCGATGACCCTCACGGCGGAGAGCGGCTCCATCTTCATCCGGTTCGTCACGGATCCTCTCCGGTCTGCCCGGGGCTGGGAGGCCAAGTTCTCATCTGGTAAGAGACAAATTAATTGCTCCGTGAATGCGGCGAAGTAAATGCACGAGAATCGGTGAAGAGAAATGAACGAATTAAAATAAATGATATATTATTAGTAAATAAATATTGATGCTGTAAGACTTGACTATGTACTATATTAATAAAAGTTATTAATAGCATGTTCTATTGAGCGCTGAAATTTGAGTTCCGTCGATGGTGAAGAATAATGATCTTGTATTGAAGTGGTAATCAGCATTTTAGGCGGGGCCAGGATTCCGGACAGGTCGTTATTATTATTATTATAAATTATTATTATTGTTATTATTTAGTATGAGTCTTTCGAGGTTGCATCGAACAATATCAGAAGAGGGGGGAACCGTTACGATAACCTGCCGGTTAAACTGTACGGTAAACTGCAACTTCGGGCTTGCGAACGCCCGAGTTCGCTCTATGGAAGTCGCACCTTTAATGCGTAGAGGACACGAGATGAAGGACTCTGACCTTTGGCCTTACCTCGGCTGATTTCGACGAGCATTCGTATCGTCGTCCCATTTACGCTCTAATTATCATCATTAATAATTAAACGTAATGAGTGATATAGTAGCGATAACGCGACGTTTCTTTGCCTTTAGACTGTCCGATGCTGAAGCCCGGCGCGGGGGCGATCGCGTCGAACCGCGACACGTCCTTCGGCTCGATCATCAAGTTCACCTGCCCCGTGGGACAGGAATTCGCGACGGGGCTGGAGGAGATCCAGACCATGTGCGAGGCGGGGGGGGAATGGTCCGTCGACTACATCCCGAAGTGCCAGGGTAGGTGGAGGTTCATGCGTCCGGGGGGGAGGTACGTGCGTCCGGTGTGGAGGTGGGTTCACTTTCGGTGTTTTGTCGCAGAGAGGTACTGCGGGCCGGTTCCGCAGATCGACAACGGGTTCGCGATCGGGGCGACGAACGTGACGTATCGCGGACAGGCCACCTACCAGTGCTACGCCGGATTCGGATTCCCGTCCGGCCTTCCCGTGGAGACCATCCGGTGCACCGCCGAGGGCGACTGGGAGAAGCTTCCGACCTGCCTCGGTGAGTCCTGCGTCGTCTGGCTTTTCGGGAGGGGGCGGAGAAAACGCGGCTTCCCTTCCCCGCAGATATCATCGAGAAGATGCGATCTCGCGCCCGGAGAGGAGAATGAGCCCATAAACAAGAGTTGCCTCGCCTTTCTTTAGAATCTATTGCTCGGAGTGAAAGTAGACACTCGCATATTCTACCTTCCCGAGGAAGAGAGGATGCTTTCGTAATTTCTGTACAAAATCCATTGAAACGAATGAGGAAGTATTCTTTAGAACCCAACCCCACCCGTCTTCCCCTTCAGCCACCCTTCCGTCCTCACGCCACGTCTCATGCACCGCCTCCTATCCTCATGCCATGTCTTGTCCACTGCCCCACTATTTCGTGCCATGTCTCGTCCACCACCTCCCATCCTCATGCCATGTCTTGTCCACTGCCCCACTATTTCGTGCCATGTCTCATGCACCTCCTCCAACCCTCATGCCATGTCTTGTCCACTGCCCCACTATTTCGTGCCATGTCTCATGCACCTCCTCCAACCCTCATGCCATGTCTCGTCCACAGCTTCTCAGTGCCCCAGCCTGCCGGAAGTATCCCACGCCACGCAGAACATCCTGAGCGGAAGCGGACGGAGCTATGGGACTGTCGTCCGGTTCGAGTGCGAGCCGGGTTACGTCCGCTCCGGGACGCCAGTCATCCTCTGCCAGTCTAATGGCACCTGGTCCGGCACTGTGCCATCTTGCTCGCGTTAGTTCCTTCCCATCCATTTGTTTCCATAGCGGATTAGCAGTCCTGCAAAAAAAAAATGGCAGGCTTCATTTCAGGTTGTACAGCGTTATATGGAATTGCATAAACAGAATGAAATTTGAGAAATTTGTCCTCGATCCCAAATAGGAATGAGGTGCCACGACTTCCCAAAGATCGAGAACGGATTCATCGTCAACAGCACGACCGAGTACTACTACGGGGACGAGGTCCGGATCCAGTGCCACCGGGGCTACCAGCTCGTCGGCTCCAACTCCATTCCCTGCGGGCCGGAGCAGGAATTCGTCAACCTGCCCACCTGTCAAGGTCAGACTCGGAGTCCGGGGGAACTTGCGACCGCGGCGCCACCTAAAGGATGCATTTGGTACCGATTGCAGACATCAACGAGTGCTCCCAGGCCCAGTGCGACTCGGCGTCGACCGTCTGCACGAACCTCCCCGGCGCCTTCTTCTGCAAGTGCAAGGAGGGATTCAAGCCGAATCTGGACTGCAGGCCGGTCGGGGACCTGGGGCTGAGGTCGGGGGCGGTGCCGGATGGGGCGATACTTGTGTCGGGGCAGGAGAGGGGATATCCCAAGGAGGTTGGTTTGCATTCATTTATATATATATAGTTTAAATTACGGATATGGATTTTTTTTTTGGCTGGAGAGATGATTTGGCGGCAGTTTTTTGGTCGAGTTTTCTGGTTTTTAGAGGATTTTTGTTCGGGTTTTTCCAGTCTTGAAGTCGTGTGTTTCCTTCTCTTTGTGTTTCCACGAGAGATTTACCTGGGTGGATGACGAATGATATGCTGTGCCCACACCTTTTCTTTTTTTTTGTTCCTCGCAAAATCTCTGTTCAGAACATGAAGAAAAAATTTTTCTTGGCCTTTAAATTGTGTCAAAATTTGAAATTTGAAAAACAAAATTGGCGAAATGGCCCTGTCGTTGCAGGACGTGCGACTGAGCAGCGACGTGGGCTGGTGCGGGGCCTCCGGGAACCCGAACTCCAACTTCATCGTGATCGACCTGCAAGCGCCGACGGTGCTCAAGGGATTCCGGACGCAGCCGGTCGTCCGGCACGACGGGATCGTCGCCTTCGCCTCTGTCCTTCGCCTGCAGGTTCGCCGCGCTCCGTCGGCATCGATTTTGTAACTAAAAAGAAATTGAAAAATTTTGAAAAAGTTCCATAAAAAATATTTCAGTTCATAAAAATTATTGTATTATCAAAAATATGTATTTGAAAAATGAATTGGACGTTCGCAGTATTCGGACGAGCTGACCGACCTGTTCAAGGAGTACCGGACACCCAGCGGGGCTCCGGTGGAGTTCCGGATCGGGGCCAGCTCCGGCCCCTCCGTCGTGAACCTGCCGATCCCCGTCGAGGGCCGGTTCTTCCGGTTCACGATCCAGGATTACGTGAACGCGCCGTGCATGCGGCTGGAGCTGATGGGGTGCAACCGGCAGGATTGCATCGACATCAACGAGTGCGCCGAAGGGAACGGGGGGTGCGATCAGAAGTGCACTAACAAGTGGGTCCTCGGTTTTTGTCTTGATTAATTTGTTGATTGATTAATGGGTTGGTTGGTTGGAGTTTAAGAAAAAAAATTAATTTTTTTGAGGGGGGGATTGAGGGGTGGGGGGAAAAGTACGATGTAGAAGGCGTTTATTTATTGATGTCAGCGATGATCTCTTGAGGTTGTTCGCTTTGCGCCTGTTACGCCATTCGTGCGGGTCTTTGCACCGAACCGGACGCAAGTGCCTGAAACGCTGGAAAGAAAGTTGAGATGGAGAATTTCGGTTTCAGTGCGGGATCCTACCAGTGCCAGTGCAGCGTCGGGTACGAGCTGTTCGCCGCGAACGGGACGGCGGGATTCTACATCGAGTCGTCCGAGACGGGGCTGAGAGACGGGGACATCTTTCAGATCAACAAGACCTGCGTGCCGAAGATGTGCCCGCCGCTGGAGGCGCCGGATCACGGGCAATTGCTCGCGACGAAGGTCGGTTGCTTTGCCCTGTTTTTTATTTGATTTATAGCTTTGCCCTGTTTTTTTTTTCGCTTTGCCTTGGTTTTTGTCGCTTTGCCCTGTTTTCACTTCGCGTTTGTTTTGCAGAGGAAGTGGCACTTTGGGGACGTGGTGAGCTTCACGTGCGACTTTGGGTACATCATGGAGGGGTCGTCGTCTCTGCGGTGTCTGTCGACCGGACGGTGGAACGCGACCATTCCCACGTGCATCTGTGAGCACTTTTTTCTCTCAGGCTTTTGAGAAAATCCAGATAAGAAATATGCGGGTTAATGGAGTGAGGATGTGGGTTATGCGCCCGAAAGAGAAGCGTGTCCGTGACCCTCTTTTTTTCTCTTCCCCCTCCCCTCCCCCCTCCCC